GCCTATCCTCAGGCTCCTAAGCCTCCGACCTTATAAAGAAATGATCATAGATGGTTTTTTGGGCATCCTTTAAAGAATAGAATAGGGTAACTTTAGCGTTCCGAGACTTTTCGCAGGATAGAAGAAGACAGTAAGTAGAGCTGAAAACATTTTTTAAAGGAGAACGAAGATATTGGACCTGAGCTTGACCCGAAGCTAGCCCACGCGTGCAATGGAGTAGACAAATCTTAAGGTGACCGCCAGACATTGGGTAGGCACATAAATAAATTACTACAATGTGGATATGGATAAGGCAATCCTCAAGCTTGGAACTCATGTTGGAATTATTCAACTGTCTCTGTAGTGTCCCGAGGCTTCCCATAGGGAAGTAGAAGACATAAGTGAGGGTGAATACATGTATTCCGGGGACGACAGTGCAAATGGGGCCTGAGCTTGGCCCGAAGGCCAGCCCGCGTGTACCGAGGCCAAACAAATTCTAAAGTGACCGCCAAACGTCATGTGGCCACATAAAAAACCATTGCAGTCTCTTCCCTATAAGGGCAGCTTAAACACATTATTATGATAATTACAGAAGGTTAGGGCCTTGGGCCAACTACAAACATTCTATGAGGAGGAGAAGGGTCTGGACCTTGGCATGAACAAAAAAGACCAGCCCACATGTATAAGAGCACAACCAATGGCAACGTGCATTGAATGCAGCTGCAGTGTTCATTATTAATTTCAATTATCCTTTTTAGGTAGGAAGAGATCATTCACTAAGTGAACTAGCTTCCTACACGCTTCTTAGTGTAAGCCTTAAGAATGTCGAATAAACCTCTATCAGGAAAAGACCCTTCTGAATGTCTTAGGGAAGAGGAGCACAAACAGGCTACAGCGTCACATCCAGCTAACTTCCACCTGGCAGGTTTTATAGGAGTCTGCTTATTGCTGGGAGCTTCATCAGGTATAAGCGCACGTGGTGCAAGTGGCGGAGGAGGGAGGAAGAATCTTGATCCTACCTGGAGTCCCATCGGTGTATTTTGATCTTACGGCTTTTGAATTATCCTCAAGCCTCCAAAATGCGAGGAAATCTTTAACAACTCATATGTTTTACAAGGGTGTTTGTGCATTGGGCATCCTCATTATAATCTATATATCTGTTGCATTCTATATAGCTTTTAATTTCTCTCTCTAGGTCGTAATTTAGCCAACTGTCGATCAAACTGGTATGTGGATTCCCAAAACGCAGTGAACAAGATTATAACACAATTTCGAGTAAAATTCAGCTTCTAACCTTTACCAAAGGATAATAATAGCAACCTGTAATGCGTTAAAGTTTTTTATTTCAATTAACCTTATAGTTCAGAGAGAGGGCATGGAAAATAATGTTGTACTGGAAGGGACGACTGTCCATTTTAGACTCGGACCAAAACGTAATCGCCCTTCTACTTACTCTAAGTTCAGATCTACCGCCTTGCCAACTACAACGAGTGTAAGCAAGCTCTTGGGGAATGATCAAGGGAACTTAGGCGTTGTCGATGCTGGGAATACACCGCAAATGTAAGCACCACTCTTTTGGCAGTCAAATGGAATGATTAGTTATCCATTTGATCACCTGACATCTGGCGGTCACCTTAAGATTCGTCTGACACTTGTAAGCGTGGGCTGACCTTCGGGCTAAGCTCAGGCTTAATCCACTTGCTATCCTTGAAATACATGTATTCAGTTCCAGTTACTGCCTTCTTCTACCCGGTAAGAAGTCTAGGGAAGCTACGCTGGTGGCAGTTGAATGGAAATCCGGCATTTATTAAACGACTTCTCTCCTAGCATCTACTGTTTTTAACATGTACCTACGGTGTGGAGGAGGCCCACGTACATCAGTGGCGGGGGAAACTAAATTATTTACAAAAAACGGTTGGGAAGGATGTCTGCGTTTGGCTTCACCTTGTCTCCATTTTCCACAGACAAGATATCAACAAATGAAGCAGCGTTGTCGTGAGCCATTTGGAAAAGTTTCGCGTCGGAATTTCCTCTACTAAATCTTTATATGGGTGTCGGAAATGACACTATGGCTCTCCCTATGTACGAGGCTGTCTGATCCCATTTTCCATGTAATACGTCTGTTTTCGACCAGAATACTACTATCTAGCCCTGAAGGCAAATGATGGTCAACAAATGTGTGCAACCTCGATTCTGGCTGTTGGACCGAACGAAACTCGAGGTCCAATTGAAGCTGCTGGGAGAATCAAGTACCGTTCTTCAGTCTCATGGCAGCAGCTGATTGGGGCGACTAGCTCGTGAGTGCTATCTTGCAGTACCGAATATGCTGCGACGGTTAACGCGGGAGGTGTACAAAGTGTAGCGCGAAGGACGTCGCTCGAAAGGAGAGAGGAGCAGTGTACTACTCGGTTGATATGACAACCTGACGTCCGGCGGTCACTTAAAGTAACATCCGGCTCTTAAACGAACTCAGGACTAACACCTTTAATCTCCCTGGAATACGAGTATTTTAGCTTCAATTTCTGCTTATTCTCACCCTGTGGGAAGTCTCGAGATGATACATGTCTTTCGTTTGCAAGGAAATATTCTAACATGGAAATGGACGCAAAGGTAGGAGGTGCCTTCCTACCCTCATGCCCTTGAACCTCGGACTTTAAGAGATCGTCAGTTGCAGCAGGTTTATTAGACACTGAATACAGAAAGAACGGGGATAGGAGTATAGATGAGTCGAATAGCAGATATCACCCGGAGAGGGATTCCTCACAGTCCTCACGCATCGGATTCGCGTTCGAATTCACTTCCCACCTCTCCCCTATAAAGGTCCTTTTAAACACTCTAGTATATATTACACAGTCCCCCTTCTCTTTCAAGCATCTTCCCCAGTGCTGATCAGTAGAGTTCCGTCAGGCAGCTTCTATC